ATATCAATGTTCATTCAATATATATAAATGTTCATTCAATATATATAAATCATCATTCCATATATATGAAAGTTCATTGTATATATATCAATGTTCATTCAATACATATCAATGTTCATTGTATACATATATATCAATGTTCATTCCATATATATCAATCTTTGTTCTACTGAGATATATGGAATGAACATTGATATATATACAATGAACATTGATATATATGGAATGAACATTGATATATATGGAATGAACATTTATATATATTGAATGAACTTTGCTATATATTGAATGAACATTGATATATATGGAATGAACATTGATATATATTGAATGAACATTGATATATATGGAATGAACATTTATATATATATTATATGAACATTGATGTACATGGAACATTGAGATGAAAAAATGAATAATATAATTCATAAAATGTTTTGTTTAGACAGAGAGGGAAGTTCATTCCATATATATCAAAGTTCATTGTATATATATCAATGTTCATTAAATATTTCCTGTTTGGCTTGCCATAATATATATATATATATATATATATATATATATATATATATATATATATATCAAATGTGTGTGTGTGTGTGTGTGTGTGTGTGTGTGTGTGTGTGTGTATGTGTGTGTAAAAAGGTATGTATTCATAATTATAAATAAAGATTGATAGATTGATTTTTTAAACAGTGAAAGGGAGGAAACTATTCAGACAGCACAGATTAATAACATTAATACTATGTGCCAAAGTCACTGTTGGCAGCTTTGAGGCGTGTATAGTCTAAAGAGTAATTAGCTTTGCAGCATTGTGGTTGAGTTTTGTGCAATTCCTTCTGATAAACCATCTTCAGATCCCCAACGTCACAAGATTCCTTGCAATTTCAAAATCTTTCATAAATTTTCAGGGGGATTCAGGTCAGCAGACTGCCTAGGGTACGCAAGCACCTTCACCTTTTTTAAAATCAATAATTCAAGCTTTATTTTAAGTCAGAGTACATCGAGAGTGACCCATGTAGCCAAGCACTGTGTAAACAACAAACGGCTGAAAAGAGTAAATATAAATTTGTGATAGTAAAAGTATAGGAATGAAATAAAATAAGACCAAGAATTCTTATTGTAACAGTACACAGGACAAACAAAACAATTCAGAAACTTTAAGACAAGTAAGATTAACAAATCAAAACATGTAAAACTATTAAGCGGATTAGTAATAAGAATACAAATAAAAACGTATATAAATGAGTAGGGTTAAAAATAGAAAGCAAAACTAAAACAATAATTGTAGCGATAAAAGAGTAAGAAGAGAATAAGTCAATCAATTGACGAAATTAAAAATAATAAATCAATCAAGAATGTAACCTAATAAAAACCTAAAACTAAATCAGCTAAACCAGTCTTGAGTCTTTTTGGCTGTATGTTTGGGGTCACTGTCTTGTTGCAACATCCATCTTCTCCCCAAATTCAGTTTCTTGGACAATGAGGTGAAGTTTTCTAATATCTCCCAGTACATGTTTTCATGTTTCTTTCAGTGGTGTGTCATGCCCCAGTTTGCAGCCCCATATCATGATGCTCCCGCTTTCAATTCTCTGGGGAAGGTTTTTCTTGGGATCACACACACAACACTTCATATTCTAAACATAACCAGCTGTATTATTGCTTGAGAGTTCTATGTTTGTTTAGTTTGACCAGAGTATGCTGTTCCACAAGAATTCAGATTTTTTTCTAAGTTTATTTTTTCAGTGCTTATATCTGAGCTTCTTTTTTACAGTAAAGAAGTTTAGTGTGGGGTGTAGGAACTGAGATGGTTGCAGTGCTGTTCTCTTATTGCGTTCTATGTGTAATTGGCAGTGGTGGCCAGTACCGAAGTAAATGTAATTCGTTGCTGTACTTAAGTAGTTTTTTCGTGTATCTGTACTTTACTGAAGTTTTTCCATTTTGGAAATACTTTTACTTTTTACTTTCACTCCACCACATTTCAGAGACAAATATCTTACTTTTTACTCCACTACATTATGAGAAATCTGTCGTTCCTTTTAGTTTATGTGTGTATAAAAACGTAACGTCAAAACAAAAGAAGCGCGAAGTAAGAAGACCAATCAGGGCACAGCGCACACTTAGTTTGAGCTTGTTTTGACTTGTTGGACAGACCTACCCAGTGCAAGCATACGGTTCAGCGTCAGTGCAGCAGCATAACATTTTGGGAGAGTCTATTCAACATAAATGATGAACTAACATAACTTTGTGTAAATAGACCACAATATAGAAATATGTACACATATGCAGTTGTGACTGATGTGTCTTTTTTCTGAATTTATACCAACACTATATATTTTATAGTAAATTTGTTTTGGCTAGTTTATGTTTATGAACAGAGACCTACAGATGCAGTTTAGCAAAGGAAACTCATTTGTGAATCTGAGTTTAAAGTTTTTATTGAACTTAAACTTGGAACTAAGTTGCAAATTAATCTTAAACTGAAACTTTGCTTGTTTGTAAAAGGTTATTTCAGAGCCACTCAGTTCTACCTGATGGAAATTGTTTGCCTTCAGTGTTTTGTGCTTATGATAATTTTAATACACATCAGCGTCAGACTTATTAATGACATTCTATTAAAGACTGGTTTACCAAGAGTGACACCGGAGTATTTTGATCAAAAACGAGTTAATGAAGCGAGTCTTATTACAAAAATGATAATAGGACATTAGAGTCATAATTACTCTTTCAGTACTTTTACTTTGGTTACTTAAGTACATTTGAAGGCAAATACTTTTGTACTTTTACTCAAGTGGAGGTCTAAAGGGAGGAACTTCTACTTTTACTGGAGTTATATTTTACCTTGGGTATCTCTACTTTAACTCAAGTACATGGTTTGTGTACTTCGTCCACCACTGGTAATTGTTGTTCCTGCTGCTTTCAGGTCGTTCTTCAACTGTTTTTTAAGTGACTGCTCGCTTCTCTCTTACCTTCCTTATCATCAGTCTGAGAGAAATCTTGCATGGCGCACCTGTTCGGGAACGATTTGTGCTTGCTGAATTTTCCAAATGCATGCGATTGAACTACCTGTACTGAGTTACTAAATGTAACTAATGTAACTAAATGCAAAGACAGGGATGTTTAAGGACCAATTTAAGGACTAAAATCACTTTCAACTGAACGTCTCCTCTGTCTCCTTAAAGGGACATCCAGAGGCTTGGGGTGACGCTGATGGGCCACCAGAAGAAGATCATGACCAGCGTCCAGGTGATGCGAGCCCAGGTGCTAAACCAGAGCGTGCCCTCAGTGCACGTATAATCGCCACCGCAGCGGTCTCCATCTGAATACATATTCATCTAATATGTGTTTTTGGGTTGTGTGTTGCGAACTCTTAAAAGACTCTCTTCTAAGAAACAACTTCAAGAGGACTCCTTAGCTGCAAGGATTTCCTCGGCACCGGACTTTGTTTTCCAGGACAATCCCTGCATTGTTTCTTTGCTAATATTTCCTCGGACTTTGTGTTTTCTTCTTTCTTTTGGTAAATGGATGGACTGCCTTAACCAACACAGATAATTTAAATTTTGGTGTATATGAAGGAAGATTTTATGAACATTGAAATGTGCGATGATGTACAGAAAGCGTTAAAATGAGGACATTGATGGGGACTGGAATGAGAGAATATTGTATATGCATAAAATAAACCCTGTTGCCAGTCACCCACCACAGCACCTAAATGGCATGGATGATACTATGAGTGCCTCAAAATGCTGAATACAGACACTGGAAAAAGATAGAGAGGCAACTATTAGCATAAATCATCGCTGTCAGAACAAAACCTCATATCTTCGAAATGGCAACTTTTAAGGTACATTAATGTAATAAGAATTTATTTGTGGACTATTTTTGTTTGTCCATTCTGTGATTCCATGAATGCGGTACCATCTGTTTCCCACTGATATCACGTTTACTAATAATGTTACAAGTTTTGTGCCGAAGTCAGAGACCACCCTTCATTCATTTAAGTTCCTGAGATCAGATATAAGATGATCTGCTTGCATCAGGACAGAAATGTTTCCAAGCTGGAGTTCAAAAGATATTTAAAAATATAGAGAAATTGGGACCCCTAGCAGCCATGCAAGACCTGGCAGACCACTAAAACTGTCCCCATCAGATAAACAGCACTTAAAGCTCTCATCTTTGAGAGAGAGGAGAAAATCAAGCTGTTTCAGATCTGAAAACATCCACAGGTGTTTCTGTCCATCCTTTCACTGTGAGAAGACGATTCAGTGCTACGGGCCTGAAAGGATGTGTAGCTGTCAAGAGGCCATTACTGCGAAAAAAAAAAAAGGAAAATTTGTAAAAGAAACTGCTGATGTCCTCAGAACAATGGAGAGTCCAGATCTCAACATCAAGTCTCCTGAAAAGAATGGAAGCTGTAACTAAAGACTGAAAAAAGATGATTTTAGTTGTGGAGCTTCTCTGTTTTTTTTCCCTAAATATATGTTTTCTGCTTTTTACAGACACTAAAAGAGTGAATAATTTCTACTTGATGGCACTTTTTTGAATGTTGGTGTGGTCTCATAGGCATATAGGGGAAAGTAAAGTGTCCTTCACAACAATCTATGTTTAAGTTTCAAAGAATAACTTCATTATTTTAAACGTTAATGAACCTAAAACACTTAAAAAACAGCATTTTGCCTCATTACAACTACACTTACCTTGTAATATAATATTTCACATGTTCATATCATTTTCGCATTAATGTGTTAATCCATTTAACATGTCATGTTTGATACATCATTTTTCATGAGTCACCCCTATGAAATATCTGTACATTCAACAGGAATTTACATCATCTGAAGATCATGGGAAGAAGAAAAACACATTTTCTCATTAATTTTCTCCATTTTCAGTGATATTATGATATTGATTGACACACTTTGAAAGTTTAACCCTGTTAGCCGAACTATAGACTGAAAGCAAGAAATTCATTTTAAAAATAAACTTTCAGTAAATCGTTAGAATGTCCTTAATGCCCTTATGGCATCAGCATGGTTGCTATTTAACTACATTCTGCTAATTCTATGCTAAGTAAACTCAGCCCTGCTACTTCTAACCCCGAATCATTGTCAGCAAAGTGACCTTGTATAAAATGAGACATTCTTCCTGGATATTGTTAAATGGATTAACACATTTCTGACTGGTTTCAATAACAAAAATAAAGCTAAAATCTTAAGGGCTAAGTGGATCCCTGATCATGAAATCATCCATGAAATGTTCAATGTAAAGGGCAGCTGGCATTTTCAAATGATGTAATGTAATAAATAAAACAATAAATAAATAAACCAACAAAAATCTGGAAAAAAAAGAAGATACAAGGTTTTAATCTGACAGCGAAGATATACACACTTAAAAGAGATGGTTCTTCCAGGGTAGTTGGGTAAAGGCAATGGTTCTATTTAGAACCATGCGTTCTTTATAGAGCTATTTTATGCCTAAATGGTTCTTTGCATGGTGAAATGGTTCTTCAGGTTGATAGAGAATGTGCTGTACATGTTAAAAGGGTTCTTGTATTGTTATGGAAACCCTTTTTGGTGCCATATCGAACCATTTTCAAAAGGTTCTTTATATAGAACCATTTTCATAAGGTTCTATATACAGAACCATTTTCAAAAGGTTCTTTATATAGAACCATTTTTAAAAGGTTCTATATAGAACCATATACAACACATTCTTTATCAATCTGAGGAACCAATGAACCATGCAAAGAACAATTTAAGTATGAAATGGTTCCATATAGAACTCATGCTTCTACATAGAACCATTCCCTTTACTAAAGAACCCTTGAAGAGCCATCTTTTTTTAAGAGCGTACTGAACAAGCATATAAGCTATGAGCTGAGATGCTCAGAAACTTTTGCTGGTCTCAGCGAAATCTGCATATCGCACAAGTGTGTGGAAAAATGATAATGAAACTCGTCACCATTTGCCTCTGATGTCATTAGAAGGGAAATGAAGGTGATGTATGTTATGTGTTTGATTAAATATCCTAAAATTAAACCTGCTGTTATTTATTGATTGCCGTAGAGCAAAACACAGAACCCATGAAACGTTAGTGAACTGTGTCAGAGGAATGAAATGAGGTGAAATCTGTAACCCTTTAACATTAAATTCTTTTGGCTTTTCATGGACTAATTAATTATGTGCATATCACCCACTTAAAGGTCAGTTAAGACATTTTGTCTCAGACCCTGAGAGTGCTGAATGGGCAGCGAGTGAGCGCGTTCACCAGTTTCTGTCCGCTGATTCAAAATAATTGGAGGCAGTAGGGGTGAAACGTATTTAAAAGGCGGTCTGAAGCCCGTCCTCCAGTGCCACCATCCTCCACTTATTACACTGCAGCTCAGAGGTAGAATCTCAAGGTAAATATATAAGATTATATATGGTAGATCAATTTTAGCTCTAGCATATAACATATTTTGTTGTTTAACCTAAAAAATGTACTTTAGTTTTATTCAAGTCAAATAAATTCTTTGTTCTAAATAAGGCAAACCACAATGCCAGTTTATATAAAAGGAATTTTTAAACGTTGACGTGACTTTAGGTGCCCTAAACTTATATGAAACTTAATTTCACATGAATTGCACAGAGCTCTGTGTGTTGCAACTGTCTCTCTGTGAAACTTTCATAAAATAGCCAATTAAACCCCTCCAACAAACCATGTGACAACATCAAACACTTGTAGCAAAAACGGTTCTATATAGTACTGAAAAAGGGTTCTTTGACTTGTAAAAATAGTGCAACCCCTTTTGGTGCTATATAGAACCATTTTAAACGGTTCTTTGAAGAACCATAAACAACTGGGTTTTTATCATTGAGAAGAACCATTTGACCATGTAAAGAACCATTTATGCGTTCACAAGTTTCTGTGATTACACATGGTTCTATACTGAACCATTGCCCTAACTAAAGAACCCTTGAATAACCATTTCTTTAAAAATTTAGGATTGCTTGTTTTTGTTGATGTTTGCTGGTAAACAGTTAGCTTATGTAACTATCTAGCTCAGGGGTTTACACATCTGGCCAGAGAACACACATCTGGGGACAACTTGTTAAACTTTTGGTGTTAAATTGCAGTGAACTCGGCTGCTAATAAGAGTAAGCCCCCTTTAAAACCCACCCTAAATAACTCATGCTCTGTCCAGAGTAGACTCTATAACACAAGCAAAATAAGCTATCCGTGGCCCTGCGTGGTCCACACGTGGCCTAGGGGGGCAGTCATGGGCTGGAGGTCTGGGAACCAGAGACAGGAAACTCACCGGTTCAATCCCCTGAGCAGACAGTATGTGACTGAAGTGCCCTTGAGCAAGACACCTAACCCCCAACTGCTCCCTGAGCGCTGTGGATAGGGCTGCCCACCGATCAGGGCAAGTGTGCTCATTGCCCCCTAGTGTGTGTGTTCACCAGTGTGTATGTGGAATTTCACTGCACAGATGGGTTAAATGCAGAGGTGAAATTGTGGGACTAATAAGGGTCACTTAATTAATTAATTAAAGCTAACTAGCAAAATGCTAAAATTAACTGAGCAGCTTTTTTCCTTGCGACACATATTGTTTATTTTTACTGCATGTAATTTGTTCTCCTCACACACAACACATCTAAAGGTTTAATTGGAGTTTTTTGGAGGAATTGTAGCCAGGCTAACTCACAGTACAATCAATTGGCTGATGACAGGCTTGCTATTGGACAATGTTGATGAGACCATCATCACCTCTATCTTGTGTTCCTTCTTCATGAAAATTTGGACTGGTTTTGAAATTTCACACTCAGTTTGTTCCCACCCAAAATGTCTTGTTATAACATCACACCTGCCCTCGCCAGACCTGTCAGCTGATGTTAATAGGAAGCTGTTTAAATGGCTGCTTGTGCTAGTGTTTGTTTTGTTACCCTGTCCTTTCAGCTGGGTCATTCATTTTATTGAATGTTTTTTCAACAACCTCTAATTTTGCACAGAGTGAAACTCCGAGACTCGTCCGGTGGCAATTTTACAGAAGTGGAGACTGACATAATCTTATGTAGCCAGCATGGTACAATATATCAAAAATGCTAGCTGGCTAAGCTAACTAACCATTAGAATACTCAAATATTTTGAATGCCACTTTGATTAAATTGTAATAAGACTTTTTCACATTTTCACAACTTTTCTACTGAAAGTGGTCGTTTCAGGGTAACACTGCTTCCACTAAAGCAGCGACAATAACAACGATGGCAAATAGAGCGTGTACAGCTTATTCATGTGTTCGAGTTTGAAGCAAAAAACAACCTTATCTCTCAGTTTCTGTGGTTTCTCAGCTGACGGTGAGCAGATGAAAAATGAGTTTGAAGAGTTACCAAAGGAATAAACTTATACAGAGGAAAAGAACCTCTGTGTCAGCACTTCCCTGCTACTAACTCATGTAAATGTGCAGTTT